CTTGAATTGGTATAAGGTTGAAATTGTTTTTTCAATTTTATTGATTAATTACTTTCATTGCTTAGTTGCTTTAAATTTCAATTGATTAATTGCTTTAAGAGTTTAAAGTTGAAAACTTTTTTAACTTGTTAAAGTGTATTTTGCAATTTGTAACACGAGGCATTGGGTCTTCACGAGATAACGAAGAAGGTAATAGTGAAAAACATCCTCGTGTCGACTCAACTTAATTTTAGGCCCTCCTTAATTTTTGTTCTGGTTCAGCCACTGCGTATGGGAATGTTACAGCGAATACATAGGCCGGATTACACAAAAAATATTGTATGGAGTATAAGTATATGAATTAAAGTAGTACTTTTATGCGTAAAATGGTTGTACGTGGTACACCCACAAAAATGAATCTAAAGTTATATACAAAATGTGTGATAATTCACAACTTTGCTATTCTGTTTGCAACCCATGACAATTGAAAATTTGCTGTGGATACCTCTGGGTTACCCGGAAATTCTGAAATACGGAGTATTTAACACTATCTTTTAGTTTTATTTGTTATTTGATCCGTGCATTTAAAGACTATTTTAACGATTACTTTTATTTTTAAAAAATATTTGTTAACAGTAGATTTACAATTCAAAGATATGATAAATTGGTGTTCTTTTTAAAATGGTTTTAAAATATTGTACTTCTTTGTTTTAATTTGGTATATTGTACGGAGTATTTTTTATTTTTAGTCACAAATTTGTTTTTAGAATACTATATATTCAAAATTTACATCAATCTTTTTCTCTAAGTTAAAAGCCATTTTGCGTATCCAGGTATATGTACAAAATCTGCAGAACCTTTGGAGTTCAATTTTCATCGACGTGTTCTTCGGTTTGGCTAGCATTAAGATATTTTTCGTTGTTCCTCATTTTATACATAAAATAAAATACATTGAGGAGGTCCTCCAAAAGTTTACAAAACGTAAGAGTACAAAAGAGTCTTTACATGCCATGAAGTACTTTTGTTGACTATTTATTCTCTGGCTAGCAGAAAGCCTTTAGAACGTCAGATTTTTTGTTTTTGTAATTCAAAAGCCCACCTCACATTTTCTCTCTCATTTGTTGGAGATTTTAATGAACTCGTCTTTTTTCAATTGAACACACTAAACAAATTCATTTACTTTTAATTTTCAACTTGACACCATTTTACGAAATATATAAGAGATATATTTGATACTAAAGTTGCCACCACTATGGTTGTGACCCCAAAAGCTACCATCACAACTATCTCAAAAATTTTTGATAGGACTTATATGAGCGTACCTCCTACAATTCAGGAAACCTGCATTTTTGGTTGAGTTCCAGGCTTTCCATCTCTCATGACCACTTGAGGCTTATTTTATATGGTACTTTGCATTGGTGCCTAACTGCCTGTCCATTACCATCTAGAAATGTGTTGGGCTACCAAAAATCAAATGTTGTATTTCTCCTATATTTATTGGAAACGGAAATTTGATTCATCTATACATTTATTAGTCCTGTTATGGATCTAATGTTCCTTAATGGCTTAATCCTTATTCCTGGAGGACCTGAACAAATCATTGGAGCAAACTTTTTATGTTTTGTGATTTTCCAGATGATTTCATCACTATACTCTTTAATAAGATAAATATTAAATAAAAGGTTGCATTGAGAAACAAAATGGCATGGAATATAGTAATTTCTCGGACACTGCAATATTAACTGTTTTTGTCTCCAAGATTAATCAGAAACACAGTCTTGGACAAATGCAATTTATGTGGATGATTCCTTGGATATTTATTCCGATCGAATATCCATAGTCTTACCCTGCACCTGTTGTGGTGGCATCTTCCTATGGAATAAACCTTCTGCTATTATATTATACTATACTCCGTACTACATAATAGATTCGATGCTTGAGAGAGTATATTTTCTTGGATTTATGCAGGCAGTATTGTTTTTTGGAACATGGAAGACATCTTGACCGAAATACCCCCACCTTCTAGATTCTTCTTGGAAGATCTAAACAATTTTGCACCTCGTTCACCCCCTCTTCCATCTCCGTTCCTCATGTTTGCCACACCTAACCCTGAGAAATACTCTCACCCTTCACTACTGATAATTGCCATGTCTTTCCCCTCCACTCACTTCTTTCACCATGTCTCTTCCAAAACCTTAGTGGGAACACTTATCCTACCAGAGACACTATTATCCGGAAACTCAATCGTGCCCTCTCTCAAGGATAAATCCTGCAACATATATGCTTTACATCATGCTGATAAATTGGTCTTGGTAGCTTCTGTCCAATGTCCTATCAATGCAGAGAGATCTCATGCAGTGGCAAAGCTGCTTGTTGGGCGAAAGATCAAACCAGACCGGGTTTTAGTTTTGGATACGATTCAGAGTCGTAACTTTAGAGGTAAACTTCCACCGGACGAAACACTTATGTTCAAGCTAGAGTCTTCATTGGAGAGAAAAGATTCAGAGTTGGTCAAGGGTTTAGACTATTTCCCATCAGGAAGTGTGGTGGACGGGCTCGCAGCTGCACTATTGGGACGCTGCGAGATTGATAAAATAAGAGGAACAGTGTGGGTTTCCTGGCCAGAAACTGGTGGTCCTGTGACATTGGCTGTGAAATCGCATCTGCTCAAGAATTATTTACCAGGAATGGATCATACCAGCGCTGATAAGGAAAAGAGTGACTTTTCTGGGACTGGGCGTACTAGAGATTATCTTCTTGACTCTGATATGTACACATGATATTTAGTCTCTTAAAAGGAACAGTCTTAAAATCTTATATTTCTATATCTATTGCCTTGTTTCAGACCTACAGTTTGCTTTTCATGTTAACTTAAGCTTCAATTTGAGCTCGCTCAAGTTTGTAAGAAACCGATTTGATTTATTTCTCTTTAGTTTTTTTTTTAAATACCCATAGCAACTTTTTTTATTATTGAAATAAGTAATTAGCTGAAATAAGTTCCCTCTTCAGGTTACAATTAGGACATGCTCATTATGACTAAAATTTACTAGTTTAAGTCTGGTCCGGTATAATAGTGTATTTTATAATTATCAATGTCTGGTCGGAGATGTTCAAGTCCAGTTTGTTTGGTATGTTATGTTAAAATTTGACTGTAATTTCTAGTCTGGATTGGTCTAGTTTGTTCTGGTTTGTTTAATTTGACTGTAATTTCTTGTCTGGATTGGTCTAGTTTGTTCTCATTATATATACACATGCCAGGACTCCTAATAGAGTGCCTTTTCCCATTAGTTTTCACATGTTATTAGATTGGGCAAATCCCAACGCTTACCTTTTTCTGATGCTAGTCATAATTCATCATCTCCTTCGCAATTGATTCATTCTGATGTATGGTAGTTTCCTATTTTATCAAATCTAGGTTTTAAATATTATGTCTGTTTTATTGATGATTTTTCTCGCTTTACCTGGTTATATCCCATGCATACCAAGGATGAAGTGTTTAGTCACTTTCAGGTCTTTAAGGCACTAGTCGAAAATTTATTTAGTTCTACAATTAAAGTTTTTCAAACTGATAGAGGGGGGAGTTTGTTAATTTTCAAATGCAACAATTTTTTTTTTCTGAAAATGGGATTTATTTTCAAAAATCTTGTCCTTACACTCCTCAACAAAATGGTGTTGCTGAACGTAAAAATTGGCATCTACTTGAATTAACTAGGACTATGCTTATTACTGCCTCTATTCCTATCACTTTTTGGGTTGATGCCATTTTTACGGCCGTCTACATTGTGAACAGACTTGCCTCTCCCACTCTTTATGGTCTCTCTCCCTACGATTTTTTTTTTCAAAAATCACATGACTATAATTTATTACGTGTTTTTGGGTGTGCATGTTATCCTAATTTCTCTGCCTCTTCTTCAAATAAACTTTCTCCTCGTTCTATTCAGTGTGTTTTTATTGGTTATGCATCTGGCTTTAAAGGTTATCGTTGTTTGGAGCCCAAATCTGATAAAGTGTTTATTAGTCGGCATGTACGCTTTCATATAAATATTTTTCCATTCACCACTCTGTCTTCTTCTACGTCTGCCCCCACATCTTCCTCTACGCTCACTTATTTCCCTTTTACTACCACGACCTCTACCAAACTCACACTCCGTCCGCCTTCATTTTTCCGTACCTCAACTCCCACGCCTGACACAATTCCCTCGTCCCAGGCCTTTCCTAACTACACTCCACCACCACATACTTCCCCCAGACCACACTTCCCAACAACTAGACCATACCTCTCCACCAGACCACGTTGTGCACCATCTCACACCGTCACCCTCGCCCCAGCCACCTTCATCTCCATCACCCGATCTGCACTCCTAGCTCCAGTCCCCGCCCAAGACCTCACTGCCGATGCCCAAACGGTCTGCTGCAACCACCCCCGATGACAGCCCGGTGAATTTTCAGACCGCTTCTTGTCTGCCTTCCTCCTCTCAGGCTCCCACACATAATTTTCACCCACATGCAAACTCGGGCTAAGTCGGGCATTTTTAAACCAAAAACTATTTTTAACTTAAATACAATTGCTTTATCGGGAGATCCCACTTATTTTTCAGAGGCAAATAAACATCTTAAATGGCGTGAAGCGATGGGTGCAGAGAAAATTAATGCTCTTATTTCTAATAATACTTGGTAATTAGTCCCGTTTGATAGCATTATAAATGTTGTGGGTTCTAAGTGGATTTATAAGACGAAATACAATTCTGATGGGTCTATTGAGCGCCATAAAGCTCGTTTAGTTGCTCAGGGCTTTAGTCTGCAGACTGGTGTAGATTTTTCAGAAACTTTCAGTCCAGTTATTAAACCCACCACTATTTGGGTTGTTCTTTCTCTAGCTATTTCTTTTGGGTGGGTTATTCGTCAGCTGGATGTTAAGAATGCCTTTTTACATGGTCATCTTACTGAGGAGGTTTATTTGCGTCAACCGCGGGGTTTTACTCATCCTTTGTTTCCTAATCATTTGTGTAGATTGCGGAAAGCTCTTTACTGGCTCAAGCAGGTCCCGCGGGCATGGTTCCATCGTTTCAGTAGTTTTTTATTGTCTCATAATTTCACATGCAGTAAGTCGGATAATTCATTGTTTATATACCATCAGAATAGTTGTGTCATTTATTTATTATTATACGTGGATGATATTATTATTACTGGCAATTCACCCTCTCTTGTCTCTTCGCTTATTCATCTTATTGCTCAGCATTTTGCTATGAAGGATCTTGGTGACCTTCATTACTTTCTTGGAGTCTAGGCTAAACGTTCTGATAAAGGTGTGTTTCTCTCTCAACACAAATATGTGTGTGATCTTCTTTCTCGTTTCCACTTACATACAGTCAAGCCTGTTCACACACCTCTGGCTACCCACACCTCTCTTTGCCTCACTGATGATGGATGACGAACTCCTTGCAGATGCCACTGAGTATCGTACTATGGTTGGTGCGTTACAATATTTAACTTTGACACGACCTGATATTACCTATGCTGTACATTTAGTGTCTCAGTTTATGCATGCTCCTCGTACTACTCATCTTTTTGCAGTCAAGAGAATTTTCAGGTGTTTACGGGGGACTTTGGATCATGGTTTATGGCTGAGCCCTAATGCACATGTGACTTGTGTAATTGCCTATTTTGATGCTGATTGGGCTGGATGTCCAGATTCATCCCGTTCGACGACTGGTTTTGCTGTCTATTTAGGGCCGAACTTGGTCTCCTGGAACTCCAAGAAACAACCTACAGTTTCCAAATCTTCTACATAGGCCGAATACAGAGCTGTTGCTTACACAGTACAGGATACCTTGCATATTTGTTCAATTGTTCCATTTTATTTGAGCTTGGTTTTCCTGTCAAGGCTCCTGTTCAGTTATTTTGTGACAACATTTCTGCTTCCTACTTGACTGCTAATCCTGTTCAGCATGCTCGCAGCAAACATATTCAGATTGACTATCATTTTGTCAGGGAACGTGTTGCGCATGGCGATTTGATCGTGAAGTATATTCATACACAGTTGCAGTTGGCTGACATTTTTACTAAAAGTCTCTCTAGTCAGCAATTTCATTTTTTAAAAGACAACCTGCGCGTTGTATCTCCCGCACAGTTTGAGAGGGTCTAATAGAATATATTTTAGGTTATTTGTTACCTAAAATATATTTAGGAATATTTGTTTCCTTTTGTATCTTGAACTCTCTCATTATATATACACATGTCAGGACTCCTAATGGAGTACCTTTTCCCATTAGTTTTCACACACCTGTTCCCGATCAACGCGGTCAGTTTTTTTATTTTTTATTTTTAATTTTTGACAAAAACGTACCTGTCCGATCCCTTAACATTTTGTAAGTGAATTCTGAACAGAATCTTAAAAATCGATAGGATCTACTTAGCAATTTCAAGATACCAATAAAAAATCACTTTAAATTGAGGAGATAAGAATGTAGGCGTAATGTGCATCTTACTTCGACAATTTTTTTTTATATTATACTTAGATACAAAAAATTTATGGATAGAAGGATCAAGGAATATTGTATTCTGTGAACTGCACTTTAAAGTTGGTCATTGATCATCCACTTTTTAAAGGTTAATGTACTCCATATTTCCCTATTTAACTATCTATCCTTTAAAATCTTCAGAAAATCATTGAAGAGTAAGCTGTTTCCTTATATTATCCTTCAAAATAAGATATGTAACGTATAGGAAAATATGTTATGTGATCTTCAATATTACTATGTAGCTAGTTCATGCTTGAGAGAATAAATTGGGTAGGCAGACATAAATTGGGTAGGCAAACATAACTCGGTTATTATGAGTGTTTTAGACAAGCACCCGTAGTAAATAACATCTACAATTGAAATGATACTAGCTCCGTCCCACTATATTTGGAATAAAGGAGTGTGACACAACTTTTTAAAAAAGTGAAAATGTGTGGATGATATTGAATTAATAAAGTGTGAATAAAGTAAGAATGAGTTGTAACCACTCAAAAATGATCAAATATGATATGTGACAAACTTAATGGGACAGACGAAAAAAGTAAAGCGAGACAAAGTTAGGGGGACGGAGGGAGTATATTATACTCCCTTAATTTTCTTCTATAATGGAGTTATACAATGGAGTTATATGGTTCTCTATATTAGACTTGGCGGATAAGGATGTTTTATTTGGACCATTTTCAGTCCCAAACCAGAACAGACTTTAACAAACCAGACCAGACCAGACCAGACCAGACATACCACATAAAAAGACAAGATCAGACCAGACTAGACTTGACTTCCGTAGTTTTAAAAATACACAAATACCACACGTTTATCAGACGAGATTTAAACAGACCAGATTTAAACATACTAGACCAGACTAGACTTAGACAAATCAGATCAGATTAGACTAGCAAATTAGAGGCGAAGTAAAAACATCCTAAGTAAACTTTATTAGACCTGACTTGCATGGAAATTAAGGAATTAAAAATTATGAGCTTGAATTTTTTAAAAGTTTACTTATGAAACCATATTGTACTATTCTTTCGTCCAGCATATCTATTGTTTTATAAGCTGATTTTTCTGCTTTAATTTTATAATTTCGTCCAGCCCAACCGGCCCAAAGGCCCAAAACAAAAAGCTGAGTAAATAATACGGAGACGGAGACTTCGACATCGACGGCTAGAACTCGCCAAGGAAGAAGCATTAGGAACGCCGACCGCCCCGACTCGCGGACCGCGGACCGCCTACCGGCTACCGCCGACGCTTGGCAGTTTGCCACCCTGATCCCTCTCGCACTGGTCGGAAATCGGAATCTCAGCTTGACGGCTTCTCAGTCCAGGCATCCAGCTGCAGCACAGCAGCGCCCATCCACTCGGGGTCTCAGGCTTCAGGTACTCCTCCCGACCTGGATACCTCCTATCCTCTGGCCATTATTTCACAGTCTTATACCCTTTTTATTGATTAATTGATTAGTATGAATATATGATTAATGTATTAATTGATTTCATTCATATTTGCTTAATGTTTATCAATGATTATGAATAGTGGACTAATAATAAGTAGATATTTTTTCTGTTGAGTGTTAATAAATGTTTAGTTAATATTTTTAATTGTTGATTGGTATCTATTGAGTGCTGGTGTTAGAATTTGTTGATTTTTGTGAGGTAAAATCAAACATACTTGTGAGCGGGAAATGTTCACAAAGGTTCACATTTCACAATCAGCTTACTCACATCTATTATAATGTTGACATTCTTTGTTAAAATGTTGGTGTTAAAACCAAACATACTTGTGAGAAGGGTTTAGTTCATATTTTTAATTGTTGATTTTTATATATGGTGTTCTATTCTTTGTGACTGGACCGGTCCTGATAATAGAAAGTTTTTTGCAAAACCCTAAAAAACAGTTCGCCGCGAAGAAAAATAGTTCCGACGATGGCAATGTATATGAGACGGGCACTATTGTCCTATCGTACAGTATCAATCATCTTCCGTTCCACAACTTCTCAGACACGCCAGCTCTTTTCCGTGGTTGATGGCACTTCTGCTGACCTCCTCCGCTGCTCTGCCACCTCAGGCGTCATCCCTTACTTTCCAGCAATGGCTCATCTACTCGGAATCTCAAGAGGCTTCGCCAAAGGAAGAAATACTTTGAGTACTGAGTCTTCTTATCATTTCTTTATTTTGCTACCATGGAATTTAACTACATCACCTAACGAGATCATAGTTATTTGTGCGAATGGCATTCACAGTTTTCTTTTGTTCTTTTCTGCAATTCTAGAGGAAGAGATAAACACTGATGAGAGCACTGCAGGATTTATTAATGTTGGTCCATCAATTAAGGCTACTGCGATCTCACAGATGGAGGCAGCAATAGAGGCATTGTCTCGAGAATTGACCAAATTGCGAACTGGACGAGCATCAATTGGTACAAACACAATTTCTGGTGTTATTAACTTTTTTTTTTTAAATTTTTTTTCTGGTGTTGTTAACTTTTAGAAATGTTTTCTCTTAATCTCTATTGTCTATATTTTCATTTGAACTTGCAGGAATGCTTGATCATATTGTAGTGGAAAGTGGAGGTGTAACAACGCCTTTTAGTAGGATGGCTGCGGTTTCAGCCTTGGATGCAAAAACTCTGTCTGTTACTCCTTATGATCCAAATGTAATACTCCGTATTTTGCAACCTATTGTGATATACTACGTATTTCTATTTCTATTTCCTTTGGATTTTCCGTGATATGGATTTCAAGTTGAATCTTTTCATATGAAACTTCATGGCATTGTGATACATCGAATGGTTATTGGTCTTTTGCAGACCTTAAAAGATTTGGAGAAAGCTATCATTTCTTCTCCATTGGGATTAAATCCCAAGGTGGAGAATGAAAGGTTACTTGTTCCTATACCTCCGTAAGTACATTTTTCTCTAAAGTCTAAACTACTTTTTTTGGTTATTCGCCAAATCGAGTCTACATTTATGTTTCATGATATGTTTGATGATATTACAGCATCAAACTTGTAATTAACATGACAATAGTAACTATCTCAAATAAAAATGACGTTTGATAATATTTGAAAAAAGTCTTAGAATTGGCATAGTAAATTTTAATGTTAATTATTTGTAGACAATCAATCAGCCAGATAGGGTTAGGGCGGTGATGATCAAGATTGAGTCTACATAATTCCAATCTTTGAATGATGCATGAAAGATATTATGCTTTTTCTAATCGACATTCTTTTATCAGTAGGAATGAACATATTCATTCAAGTAAATGAACTGATATTGTTGTTCTTTGCCCTATTTTTTTTGACATATTACTATATTATTTTCCTAACATTTAGCTTGGTGTTCTATTTCTCTTTCTTGAATTATCAGGCTGACAAAAGAACATATGCAGGTAGATGTCAATCAACTTTTTTTCTTTTGATCTCATTTTCTCGTTGGACTTAATGTTCTTGTACCTCTGCTTATTCCTGATATTTTCCCCAGGCTGTGTGCAAGGTAGTAGCTAAATCATCCGAAGATGTTAAACAAAGTGTAAGAAGAGCTCGCCAGAAGGTATGCCTTTTAAGCAATGCTAATTGATTTCCTCTCAAATCTTTCTAGTTTGTTACTCCGTATTTGACAATTTTCAAAAAGAATGTATAATTATCTGCTTCACATTTTTTCTCGAAAACTCCTAAGCTCTTTGTGCCCCCTTTTAGGCACTGGACACGTTAAAGAAATACACACCCAAGAAGAAGGACAAAGACAAGTCAAGCTCAACTTTCTCAGCAGATGATGCAAAAAGATTGGAAAAGGAAGTAAGTCACTTCCAATATTATTTATACTTTACCGTACTAGTGTATCAGTTGGGTTAGTCGAAATGCTGGGTTGTCATTGATGACATGGTTTATGTTGTCACAAAACATAAAGCATGTTACTGATGCCAATATGTATTTTTTGGCCGTGCTTTCAGATCGATGACTTGACTAAGAAGTTTATAAAGACCGCAGAAGATATATGTAAAGCAAAGGAAAAAGAAATTAGCAGTGGCTGAACCTAAAGAAGTTTTTTAGACATGAAACCAAGGACTCTATTGTTAGTTGGAATTATTGCTCCCAGCTCAAGAAAACACTGTCACAATTAGGACCATCTCAATATTTTTTGAGGTCCCAGCGCTAACCAATGCACAGAGGTTCCTTCAAACATTCAATTGAAAAGCATCCAATGGGGCAAAACTCCAATTGTAAATCTTTAAGTTGATTTAGATTTTGAGTTTTTTATATCTCCGTCCCTTCAACATTGAGGTAAAAAAGAGTGACACGATTAAAAAGTGAGATTGTGGGAATAAAGTAAGGATAAAGTGTAACCACCTAAATGTTACATTATTGTTACTCCCTCCGTCTCGTAAAAAGGTTCATATTTTCCTTTTTGGGCGTTAATCAAAATATATTCGAATTACCTCATTTAATTATTGTCTAAATAACTATGTCGTTTTGGCATGAGAACTTTTCAACGAGACGGAGATAGTACTAAATATGGTATGACACAAATTTAGTGGGATGACCGGAAAAGGTAAAATTGAACAAAGATAGAGACAAGAGGGATTATAAAAATCAACGAACCATAGTGAACCTTCCTTGTAGATGATAATGGAAGCTATGTTTGATGTGTGGAATATAATGATTTTTTTTGGACAATATGTATTTGTATTATATTTACATAATGCCAGTAAACGAGCTACTCCAATAATT